TCTCTCTCACTCTCTCTCTCTCTCCCTCCCTCTCCCTCTCTCTCCCGTCACCCTTTCTCCCCCTCTTTCAGCATCACTGGGCATTAAACCCTTAGGGCCTGACTAATCCTAAAGCCGATGCTCTCTAGCTGAGCTATGCCCAGCCCTCTCTGTACGTTTTCCTTTGAAATTGTTGACCAGGCTGGCCTTGAACTTGTGACCCTCTTTGTCTCAACCTCCTGAATATCAAGATTATATAGGGTGTAGCACCCCAAGGCCCAGTTGGAAGGCTCCTTATATAAGTGAGAAATGGCTCCAGGTTTTCTGGCACAGTCTCTTCTGGGCCCGTGGTGGTATCATTTACAATTATTGTTGAGGCATTTCCTAGGAAGGGATGATGGTCCACCCAGGGCTGATACCCAGCAGGTCTCCATCTGCCTGACTGGTTGGAACCTTGCCCTGGTAATGGCTATACACTCTGAGGGTCTAGGCTCTTGGCCTCCCCTGGCATTTCCATGGCTGTTGCAAACTGCCCCCTTTTCCTCCACCAAATGGACCCACATTCCTGACTGGAAGGCCAGCTCAGTCCCCTTCTGTGTGGCATCCATCTGGTCTCTCCTCACAGCAAGGTGAAGGCCCCAACACTCTGCTGTGCTCTTGTTCTATGCTGACTTGGGTATTATTATTATTATTATTATTATTATTATTATTATTATTATTATTTGTTGGTTTGTTTCCACCACCCCACCCCACCCCTGGCTTACAGTTCACTCAAATTAAACTATCTGGCAAAGCAGGTTACCTGACTGAAGCTGAGAGCTCAGCAAATATTTCCTGAGTGAATGAATGGGCAGGACCCTTGCAAATGTGATCTAAGGAAGAACGGAAGGAAATCCCCTGATGCACTCAAAATTAAAGTTCACCTTAATTCGTTATACACAGTTTCGTGTCTCGATTTTTAATTTAAAAATCAGAGCTCAGACGGAGCACCTGCTGAGGCTCACATGGCTAAGTTAAGTTCCAATATCACCATCTGATGCAGAGATCCTTGCCTGTTTTACAGCTGAACAGACAGAAACTGGAAAGGGTTGAGACACATGCCCCGACTCACACGTCTGGGAAGAAAGGATTAGTTTGCCTTGCAAACCTGCTCTTCCACAGCCTGGCTTTCCAGTGGATTACAGAAGGCCATTCACCTACACCATTAGCCTATCTTTCCCAAGCAACTGCAGTGCTTGCCATTCCAACTAACAGGAGCACTCCCCCAGAACACTGGAAGCATGTTAAAAATGTAAGCTCTCAGTTTTCTATCCAAGACACTACAAGTTAGCCTGAATCTTTTTTGATTCCAGTGTTCTTTGGGGGCTCTGCATGCAAGATCTTACTATGTAGCCCAGAATGGCCCCAACTCACGCTCCTGCATCAGCCTTCCAAGTGCTGGGATAATAGATATGTGCCACCACACCTGGCTGACATCGTCACAGGACGGTTTGTATTGTACATATTTAGTAAAGTTAGAGTGCACCAGTTTTGACCACAGGAGTCCACAGCCCACAGGGCAAATCCAATTCACCCCATATTTTTGAATGGCCTAAAAGATAAAAATGGTTTTTGAATTTTTAAATGACTAGACATTTCCAGTAAAACAATACTCTTTGATGACATGCAAAAATGACATGAAATTCACATTTCAAAGTGCATAAAGTATTATTCAAACACATTCATTGAGGTACCCATTCATTATCTGTGGTGTACATTTGCACTACAATGTCAGGCCCAAGTCAGAACAACAAACTGTACAACCCACAGAGGTGTTTAGTGTTTGCTACATCGGGGTGTCTTTACTTTTTCTATTTGTGACCTCTTTATTTCTGAGAAAGCTTTACACTACACATACATACATATCATATGTCAAATATTCACTGATAATAATCATAAAGACTTGTTTTTTAATATTTCAGTGTGTGGTTTTTTTTTTTTGTGTGTGTGTGTACACATCTGGAGATATATGTGTGTGAGTGGGCCCACAGAGCACAGTGTGTGTTTGGCATTCAGAGGACAATTTTGTTGAGTTAGTTCTATCTACCTGTAGGTATGTTCTAGGGATTGAACTCAGGTCACCACAATTACAGGACAAGTGCCTTCACCTCCAGAGCTATCTTGATGGTCCAAGACACTGAGAATAATTCTTTGGTATACATATAATTTTACCATTTCCTAGGGTCAAAAGCAAATGTGCATGCTAATAAGATGGATGCGTTTCTTCATTTTTACATAAATAATTAAATACTGGCTGAATATTTGATAGTGCAGAATGCAGGGCCTTGACGATGTTTTTTTGGGTTGACTAATGTTTTTATTTTATAGGTCCTGAAAATGCTGCCACTTCACGTAAACATGGAGTGAAAAATGACAGGAATATATTCAGGGCTGTTTCAAAATTGTTGGTAATCTGTCCAAATTCCAAAGCCAAATTTTTCATTTAACATTTTTTAAATAAAATTCAGCAACAAACCATACAGCAATTTTTGAAATCAAACATTGTAATGCAAACAATCCAAAGACACACTAACTTACACACTAAGGGACAAAGGTAGAAAACACTAAGGTCTTTGTCTGCCATAATTAAACCAATATGCTTCTATAAGAGCAGAAAACTTTTTAGGTCCAGTAAGAACACTTCAATTCATAACACACAAGATAGTCTCGGATCTGAGCCGAGATGTTTCAGGCAGCACTTGGTGTTTCCAGTGTGACATCATGCACTACCGCACAAGTGAGTGCTGTGCATTCAAGGCCAAGGTTGCTCCCCAGTTAAGTTATTCGACTTGGATGAACGCTACCAAGGTAACTTGGATTCATTATGCGCTCAATAGTCAACCAGTTTTTAGTTGTTGCTTGTTCAGAAAACTTTTACTGTTGCCAAACTATTTTTTGAGTTCCACATTCAATTACCCACAGTTGAGATGCTGAGAAGCTTACAGTAAACATTTGCCGTTCCCATCTTTACTCTCTGTCCCTTGCCACCTGGGTCTGTGTGGTTTATAGTGGCACTGTGAAAAGTGAATAGGGGAAGCTGGCATTTGTGAGGACAACGGGGCGGGGGTGGGGGGCTTCCCAATGAGGGACAATGCTCAGCAGAGGCCTGGATTAAAAACTTAGAAGATAGAGGGAACAGGTGTAAGAACTGGGGTCTGTGAAAGGAGCATGAAGCACAAATTGACATAAGAGGCATGGGAGAGTATAGCAGTGCACAGGTGTCATGCAGAGACCGTCCCTGTTTTGGAGAAGGCTTGTCACAGTTGAGGGTGAGGATGGGTAGCTCTTTCGGCCTTGGCTTTCTCACAGGAATCATACTTGCGTTCATTTTGAGATAACTGCAAGATGAAGGGTCCGGTGATGTTCAAGTAGCTAGAATGGATGAGTTTGGAAACCTTAGATTAAGGTTTAAGATTAAGAAACCTTTCTCTAAGGTTTCCAAACTCAGAGTGTGAAAAGGAATTTTCAGTCCTAAAGGGAAACCTGCAGCTCACATATTATAGGAATAAAATTAGATGGCTCTCTGAACATCTGTATGTGCATTAGCTGAGAGAGATGGGGGGAGAAGAAAGAGGAAGAGAGAGAGAGAGAGAGAGAGAGAGAGAGAGAGAGAGAGAGAGAGAGCACATCAAGAAGGCTCAGACTAAGGGTAACGGCTATAATCCAAAGGATGCCCCCAAGTAAGATTCAGAGCCCCTGATGTCCTCTAATTACAAGAAGGTCTCAAATGATACTGGACAGATACGGAGGCTCAAGAATAGGGCCACCCTAGGCAGGTAGCACAAGGCCCATGTATCCATTGTTTCTGAACTTAGTTACATTTCATCCCTTCTTCCACCACCACTACAATCTTACATGACTGGCGTATATACTCCCCTCCCCAGGAGATGAAAGGGAGCTTGGTGATGAATCAAAGTATGGCACCAATTCTAAAGAATCTATGACATCGAGATGGAGATGCAGGACAGCTTATTCCCACAGGCTGCAAGGTAAAAATATCAGGTAGCGTTGGTACAAAGCATCCATAATTCAGTTTCCTTAAAAGAGATGGGTGGGTAGAAGGACTGGCTGAGAAATGTGTGCTTGTTTTTATCAGCTCTCAGGGCTGCTGTGGAAAGCAATTGTCTCTTCTGTTTCCCTGTGTTTCCTGCTCATTGAAGGAAATCGTGCTGGAAGCAACCTCATTTGAGGCCCAGCAAGGAACATCTGCCCTGCTTTGGCGTCTCAGTGAGCTATCAGCTCAGCTTTTGCATATGGCATCTTCCTGCTTAGCACAAAAAAAAAAAAAAAAAAAAAGTATTCCCAGGCTCTTTAAATTTAAATTGCCGTGCCCTTACACAGATTTCCCAGCCCACCCAGGAATATAAGTGTGATCTTAAAGATGGTAAATCAACTCCCCGCCCAGCTATTTTTCAATCCCAAAGGCTTCAGAGTGTGATAGCATTTGTGTGACATCTCTTTGCCCTTCCTGCCCCTCCCCAGATCACCAGATGCTGACTTTACTCCACCCCAGTGTGGATTTGAGGATGTGGACGCTGAGTGAATAGACACCCTTAAATGCAGATGACCTTGAGGAAGCTGTCTCTTGGGAGTGACAGTTCTGTTCATTCTGAAAACTTCAGCACAATGGGAGAACAGCCCAAACTGTACTGCACAGCTGTTTTGTGAATTCCCACTACTAAGCAGCATTTGAAAGAATTGCTCATGTGTGCTGCAGATTCCATGGAAGGGTATCAATAATATTTCATCTAAAACAGACTTGCTAGCATGTCGGCTTATTGATAAATTTATTATTAAAAGCATATGCAGAGGCTTCAGATAAATTTTACCAGTAATGAGTGACCACCACCCCTTTAAAAAGTGAGAACTAACCCATGATATTTGGCTTCAAAGAATCTGGCCTATGGAACATGACATTAAATATTCATCTATTTAAAAAGCTGAAAATGTCAAGGAAAGAACAAAGCCATCAAATGCTAGGAGGGCTCTGCGAAGAAAACGTCTTCGAACCCCAAGGTGAATCAGAAGAAGCAGACTCCCAAGCTTTGCCTACTGGTAATAATTACGGTTTATTATTACTGAAATGCCATAGGGGCGAGAAAGAGAATGGTGTTCATGCATTCCTGCCTTGACTTTAATTTTATTTTATATTTGGACAGACCTCATCATGCTGCCCTGGCTAGCCTGGAACTCATTTCATAGGCCAAGCTGGCTTTGAAATCAGAGATATGCTTGCCTCTGCCTCCCGAGTGCTGACATTAAGGATCACCATGTACTTGGCAGGGACTCGTGGCCTGGCCATGGCAAAAATGGCTCTGGCAGGTCTTGCCTTTCTCCCCTATTCCTTCTTCCTTGAGAAAAATATTAAATTGCATTCCTAAAGCTAGCCTGCAAGGTCTGCTCCCCTGTCTGGCCACTTCCTCCCCCTGAGACTGACTGCCAAGGTCCAGCTAAAAGAACTGAAGTCTAGCAATCAAAAGCCCCCTTGTGGTCACCCTAATTAACCTGTCTAATCAAAATTAGGCACCTCATCCTAACACAGGGTTTCCTCATTTACCTTTATAAACCACCGTTTTCCTGTGGGCCACATCTGTCTCCTCTCTATCCAGAGGCAATCCTTTGTCCTTCAGGACAAACACCCCTTCTCCATCTCCCCTGTTCCTTTCCCCTTCTCCCTTGTCCTCTATCTCTTGTCTCTGTCTCTTTTTCCCTGCCCTCTGTTCCTCTGGGGCAAGTAAATCTCCTTTGTGCTGAGAACTTGGCCTTGAAATGTCTTGTGCAAAACACTGTTCCCTTCAACAGGATAAGAGGGGCAAGATAAATAATCAACACACAGGACTCAAATGGACCAATGACGCTTTTTCTTTTCATCTCTGTTAACTGGTCCAGGTAGAGCTGCTTTGGAGCTATTTCTTTTCATCTCTGCTAACTGGTCCAGGTAGAGATGCTTCAGACTGCAAGCAACAAAAACATCCAATGAGCTGTGGCTTACCAGCTTGAAATAACATTTATTATGTTCATGGGCCTATAATGGGGGAAGGTCTTTGAGAAAGACTGCTTTTCTGTTTCCCTTTGCATCCATGAGGGTACCTTGAAGTCCAGGGATTGGCATTCTCTGCAGGCTAGCACACTCCAGTTTGACAGTTCTCACTAGGAAGCCTCAGAGGGATGGATACTGGTACAGCTGGTGCTCCTCTGCCACCTCTACCTCTCTGTGGCCCCACATGGTTTCTCCAACTTCCAATTTCCATGTAATCTAACTTCTAGCATGTCAGATCAAGGATCCCAGGACACATGTAAAAGAAAAGGATGAGGCAGAGACTGTCACCTGGGAAGACCCAGCGCTAGATTCATTCAGTGTTGTGTCCACTGGATTCTGTTTGCTGAATGAAAGCCGGAGGAGCTGGCCTGTGTTCCAGAGAAGAGACCAGAGTTATTATTTTTCAATGAAAGAAAACCAAATAATTTGTGGCAATGCAATGAAGGGGAAAGTGGTCCTGCAGAATGTGGGACTCCATGATATGGGAAGTATGGTCTTCTGTAACTATCTGTTGATTGGCTTGCAGGGTTTTGTTGTGTTTGATTTTAAGAAAAGCGTCTCATTATGTATCCCAGCTGGACCTGGAACTTGGGCTCCTCCTGCCTTGGTCTTTTAAGTATGGGGATTACAGGCATAAGCCACCACACACAGTTGGTGTGTGCTAGCATTTTTGGATGACTCTATTGTCTCAAAGTTGCAAGATGAGTACGGTAGCTGCAGATGGCATGGCTATGTCCAAGACTAAATGGAGTGGAGAGAACAGTGCCAACAGCTCCCAGCCCCTGGATCTGGAAATAAAAAAAAAAAAAACCCTGCAAACACTCCAAAGCAGAACTTGGCATTTCTCTGTTGGCCAGAAAGCTGTTGTAAACTTATGCTTTGCTCTGGGAGAGGCTGGAACCCTAAAAGCTTAACTTCCTCATTTGGTATTGCAAATGTCAGCAAAGGGCCAGGAATGGCCAGTGGCTCACCTAAGTCACACATTTCCACCCCTCCAAAGCTCCACATGCTCCACGTATGAGCACATCAGAACCACACGCTCGCAGGGAAGCCGAACCTCAATAAGTCGCTTCTCCACAGCCAAGGTCAATGAGATGACCCAATATGGTCAGCCCACGAGATGTGCACCCACTAATGAGGAGAATGTCTTCCAAGCACATATTTGCAAGAGCTAGACTCAGACCTAGATGGCTCCTTTGCACAGTTTAAACAGAAAGTAGAATTGACTTGCCACACAGACATATGCCCACAAGGCAGGGAGGGCAAGAAGCCAGACCACTGCCTTTGGAGGAAACAGTAAAGCAGATCACCTTGGGTTCAGAGACCCAGGGCCTAAAAATACTCTGGACAGGAGGAGAAAAGGACAGGTCACCTTGTAAACCTCACCCAGATTTCCTGCCTGATCCTAGAGTACCTCCCTCTTTGTGGCTTCTGTAATTTACTATTAAATAGAAACAGAAAAATACTGTGAGTTAGGGCACATTTTGTAACCCGTTTTCAGTGAGCATTCCAAGTTTGGCTTTAAGGTTTTATCATAGTGGGCTTTAAAAAAATGTTTTTCTTTTCCTCCCAAGAAGCACAGCATTGCCCATGTTTGTCATTCACAGTAGACTCTCAAGAATAAAGAGAACACTTCTGTGGGTGTTTTTTCTAAAGATGTGGTTCAAACAAGTGCTCATGGATTAGCCCAACAATAGCTAAATTGAAAAATGAGATAACTCTAGTGGGTTGCTGACTTGGGTGATGTCTGGAACTCTCTCTCCGAAGTATGTCATGAAAGCAAAGAAAGTTGAAGTGAGGAAAGAATGTGACCACAATGAGAATGTAAGGACAATCCCAAGCTATGTCTTTCGTAGATATGAGAGAATAAATAGCTCCTGAATTATGTGAGAGGAAAAATAGGAACTAGTTAAATTTTTACCCTTTAAGATGGAAGAGTTGTAACACAGGGGATTGAATAATTGATACCAAGTGACATCATTAAACAATCAAGCAAGCATCCAGACACCTGTAAGAATTCCATTGTTTAGTTTGGAATAGCAAGTTATATAGGTCTTTATTTTAAACAATGGATTATTTGATCTATTACAAAACAGACTCTTAAATTCCTTCAGTACATACCATGGAAGCTAGCATCTTTTTATCATTTATGAGCCAGTACTGTTTTCAGTGTTTTCTTTCATGTAAGAATTTCAATTAAGAACCAAAGAAAAGGCATACAGAGATCCTGACCCCACGATTCTCATTTATAATTCAAAAGTATAATCAGGCCATGATGACTTTTGTGATACCTTCACAGACCATAACAAAAACAATAAATTTGAACTTTTTAAAATTAAAAATACCAATTTAGAGACCTACTTGAAGACACTTCAATTATTCACAAGCCACCCAGCAATATTTTAAAGTACAGAAACTATCGTCAACTCATCTGTAACTCTGAAAATCGAGTTCTGTAGTCCCAGAAGCAGCACTATGCTCATACAGCATTTAAATGAACTGTTAGCATCACTTGCAAACCCATACCTCTTCATTTATGACAGTATCTCTGAGGCAGAAAATTTCTCACAGTTACTGCCAACAAGAAATTCCCACTGGGCTTTGAGTGAAAAGATAGGTGGAAAGACAGAGAGTTCCCATAGAACACCAGTCTGCTTCTATCCTGCAGAGGCTAACACAGATGGAGAGCCAGGGTTGCCCACCCCTGCAGCACATGTCAAAGAGAACAAGCATGCTGGTAATATGGTAAATGAGCCGGCAATCCTCAGCACCTCCATTTCCTCAATGACCAGTCTTGCCAGAAGTAAAACTCAACAACAAATGATTCTCTTTGCTACAACATGCTCGAATTCCTTAATGCTAGAAGTTCTTGGAAATGCAGGGAACATCCACTGAGTTTAGATCCATGAGCACTTCAAAAGTGTCCATTACCAGATGCCATGCTGGTGTCAGATGGACAGGTGCAGCCTTAGGAGTGAGCTGTCTGAATTCATACCCCAGCTCACCCCCACTCACCACCTACTCATAAACATCCAACAGGTTCCTCGCCTCCCTCAGCCCTACCTGCTTCTTCTACAGTAGCTTAACAATCACCACTACCATCACTACCATCGCTACCACAACTACCAATGCCACAGCAGGGTTGCTTGTACTTCTTTCCCCAGGTAAAGTAGGGAGAAAAGAAACACATACAGATGACGGTCATTTTTGTGCTACTGTAGCTGGACTTCAGAAGACATGCATTTAGCTCCATGTAGGATTCTCGGTCCTTGAGCCCAGAGTAATGAGCCCAGCTAGCCAAAGAGAGAGAGGTATGACACAGGAAACAGCTTGAGCAGAATCATGGGGAGGGGCACACTGCACAAGGGAACAGGATGTGGCTTTCTGTTTTGAGACATGAAGTTCATGATGGGGAAAGGTCATTTGAGGCTTCTAAGGAAGGTGACTACTGGGTCATAGGAGGCCCGATAGGACACGGTGTGAGCAACCAATTCCTTTCTGTAGATCAAACTTCATAAACCAGGTCTTAGTACTTTCTAGAGATACGTCATACGATGCTCCTCAGCTTCCCTCAAAATAATAGCTTAACTACCATCTTAACTACCATCCCCTCTTAATGTTCTGCGTGCACACATTGACATAACTGTAGGCTCTGTGAATTCCTGAAGTAACAGTACTGTGTATGTCAACTCAGCCTAAGACTCTAAAAATAGATTCAACTTCAGGACATCATTGCGATTGGAACGCTGGAGGAGAGCCAGCCAGGTCTTCACCTGAATAAGAGCTGGACAGTTCATCTTAGGAGACTCTTTCACTCCAGCTACAGAGGTAGGTTTTTCAAGAGCAGGCCAGAGAACATAGGTGAGATACTGATGACCCAGCGCAAAGGAGACAGAATAGATTCAAAAAGAGAAGCCACTAAGTGTTATTGATAAAAAGTAAAGTGAAGGAGACAAAATTCTCTACAGTGGCACCTTGAGTTCTTGAATAAGTCAAAAGAATATCAATGTCACTGTTACAAATAGAATCCAGAAAAACATGATTGGGAGAAGGAGATGGAGGAGGGAAAGATGAAGGACTTAGTTTGGAGCATGATAACATTGAGCATCCTTGGTACTCTCAAGTGAAATAAATAACAGGCAGAAATTAAGTCCAGGGAGGATGCTTCAGCCTTAATCTAAACCAGAGTCACATGACAAGCAATTTTCAGCTCTTTTTACTTAAAATATCAAAGTTAATTTAACATTCCATAATGCATTCCATTATTTTTTTTCTTTTGGACTAGAAGCTTCATGTATACATACAGGGGCTGCATCCATTTTATTCACTGCTCCATCCCCAGGCCTTGAACACTATTGGATCATTGGAGGTCCCTGGTAAATAGTGTTTTTAATAAACAGATAAACTTCTGAAGAGAACCGCTAGGCCTGGACACTCTTAGGAATCTGCCAAAGCTTATGGTTCTGAAACAATTCTTCTAAAATCTACAGAACACAAACAGAATTTTAGGTGTGGATAAAAGGCTTATACTAGCATAGTTAACTTAGAGCTTACCAAATATACTTATCCCATTGGTTACCCATTCTCATGGATAAGTGGGTTTCTTTTTTCTTGCACACCCTCTTTGGCCTCAATATAGGACCATGTCAAGGAATTGGACATTCAGTTCAGGCTGACACGTTTTTATACAGATAAGCCCTCGGGAGTTTTGAAGAAAGCCCCATATACTCACAGTTCAAAGATTCCACACAGGTTTGCCCATGGCAGGGCTAAGGAAAGGCTGTCCTGCAGGCTGTTCCCATGGCCAACCTAGAACATCAGGACCTCCCTCACCTCCCTCTGCAGAAACAGTCTACAAGAGCTGGTGATGAAGCAAAGAAAGCTCCCTGCTCAGTGTCGGAGCTCCCCAAGACATTCCCTGGGATCGCACAAATCAGGGTGGTCAGGACAAAAGAAGACAATGGGCAGATGCTAGGACACTTGTAGGACATATTGTCTTAGCAATATGTCAGGAAGCATCTCTCTCATCACCATTGTATTCATAGTAAGTGAATGGAGGAAAGAGAGAGAAGGAAGAAGGGAGACAAAGGAGAAGATGGAAGGGAGTACCTGTGTTTTAACACACTTCTGTGATCCCAGCCCTCAGGACGATGAGGCAGGAAGATCATGAATTTGAGGTCAAACTGGACTACATAGCAAGACCCTGCTGAGACAGAGCGGGGA